CCAATTGACAATATTTATGATTTTAAGCCAGTTGGAAACCTGTTAATTAATAAACATTTGATAATCATCTGTTGTTGGTGACTTTGTTTGTTAACAGATATGGGTAGGAAAGAACATCGATAAGAATTATAGACAAGGAACTCGACAACCCTATTGAATTTTATTGTTTATCAAAACTCCGTAATATACAGCCAAACATGTTGGTATATATGATATTAAGATTAGTAACAAATTTCTAAGTACTTATATTATCAAATAGTTTTAATTTGTCTAATATTTACGACAAATTCACTTACTTGTGAAATGTTATACCACTTCCCTTTTGGTAACGAGTTTTACAGATTACGCACCCTCTCATTACTAATAAAAATAATTCTTATTCATCATCATCATCATCATCATCACAGCCCTTCACAAGTCCACTGCTGAACATAGGCCTCCCCCAAGTAATGCCACAAAGCACGGTCCTGAGCCACCTGCATCCATCGACTTCCTGCATATCTTACCAGATCGTCACTCCATCTAGTGGGGGGTCGCCCTACACTACGCCTACCGGTACGAGGCTGCCACTCGAGAACCTTTCTTCCCCATCGGTTATCGGTTCTTCGAGCTATATGGCCGGCCCATTGCCACTTCAGCTTACTAATCCGTTGGGCTATGTCGGTCACTCTGGTTTTACTGCGGATATCCTCATTTCTGAGTCTATCACGCAGAGAAACTCCGAGCATAGCCCTCTCCATAGCTCGCTGAGCGACCTTGAGCGTCCTCATACGGCCAGCAGTGAAGGACCACGTCTCTGATCCGTAAGTCATCACTGGCAACACGCACTGTTTGTACACTTTAGTTTTCAGAGATTGAGGTATACCTGACGAGAAGATATGTCGTAATTTCCGGAACGCTGCCCAGCCGAGTTGAATCCGTCGATTGACCTCTCGGTCGAAGTTGGACTTACCTAGTCGGAATATTTGTCCCAGGTAAACGTACTCGTCAACAACTTCGAGCATAGTGCTCCCAACAACTACCGGCATAGGTGTGACATGGACATTAAACATAATCTTTGTTTTGTCCATGTTCATCTTAAGACCTATCCGTTGGGAGGCACTATTGAGGTCATTGAGCATAGTGCTTAAGTCCTCCAGCGATTCTGCCATAAGGACTATATCGTCGGCAAATCGAAGGTGAGTGATGTACTCGCCATTGATGTTAATACCGTATCCTTTCCAGTCCAGTAGCTTGAAAACGTCTTCCAAAGCAGCGGTGAAGAGTTTCGGGGATATAACGTCACCCTGTCTTACACCTCTCTGCAGTTGGATAGGTTTCGAGCTCTGGTTCTGTACTCGGATAGCCATCGTAGCCCTACTGTACAAACACTTCAGCACTTCGATATACCGACAGTCAACTTGGCACCGCTGAAGGGACTGCAGCACCGCCCAAATTTCGACGGAATCAAAGGCTTTCTCATAGTCCACATACGCCAGGCAAAGTGGCAAATTGTACTCTTCAGTCTTCTGTACAATCTGCCGCAGGGTATGTATGTGGTCTATGGTACTGAAGCCTTTTCGGAAACCGGCTTGTTCGGGAGGCTGGAAGTCGTCGAGTCTGCGTGCGAGACGATTCGTAATGACTCTCGAAAACAGCACGTAGACGCGGCTCAGAAGGGAAATCGGTCTGTAGTTCTTCAAGAGAGCGTTGTCGCCTTTCTTAAAGAACAAGACCACCGCAATTCTGCTCCACGCCTCTGGAGTAGTGCCACCATGGAGGACGGAATTGAAGAGCTTCTGAAGGACTTCAAGTACCGGTGTTCCACCCGCTTTCAGAAGCTCCGCTGTAATTCCATCCTCGCTTGGGGCCCTGCCGTTTTTAAGGTGCTGGAGAGCCATTCAAATCTCGCTTAGACTGACGTCCGGGATATCATCGGAATAGTGTCGGATAAGACTTGCTCTTGGATCGTTACTCACACTTACGTGTGGCTCCAACGATGATGTGTACAGCTGCCCATAGAACCTCTCAATCTCACTCAAAATCTCAGGTATTCCCGGAAACGATGCTGCCACACTCAGTCTTCAGCCTTGACAGTTGGCTCTTTCTGGCAGACAGATCTCTGGCAAAGACTTTGGAGCCCTGGTTCCGCTCGATCGCTTCTTTAATACGAGCAGTATTAAAATTGAGTAAGTCTCGCCGCATGCATTTGGAGATCTGTCTGTTCAGTTGCCTGTATGCTGTCAAATCTGTTGACGATTGCAGCCTCATCTCCCGTCTAACAGCCATAAGATTAAGAGTATGATCGGAGAGTTTTTGTGTTCTTCTGCGGCGGGTCTTGCAGAACTTAGCTCCGACAGCATGGACAGTTTCCACGAGCTTGTCATTCATATCGTCCACTGCATTGCAATCTTGTAGGCACTGAAAGCGGTTGTGTAGCTCGAGCTGAAAGTTTTCGGGATTTTGGATTAGAGCACGAGGGGGACGGAGCGTTGACTTCATTAGACGAGACCTCTCCAACTTAACGTTTAGGTTCAGTGTGCCTCTAAACATTCGGTGATCGCTGCCAGTTTTCACCCATGCGATCACTGAGACATCACTGAACAGTTGGCGTCTGGTCGTCATAATGAAGTCAATCTCATTTTTTGTCGAACCGTCGGGGCTCGACCAGGTCCACTTCCTGTGGGGCCGCTTCTGGAAGAAAGAGTTCATCATAAAGAGTCCCTCTTTCTCCATAAAGTCAGCCAGCTGCTGGCCCCTTCGGTTCCGTTGCCCTACTCCAAATTTCCCTAACTTCAGCTCACCGTTTTCTCTTGTGCCTAGTTTTGCGTTGAAGTCTCCCATCAACACCGTGTAGTGGGTTTTGGAGGAATGTATGGCTTTGGAAATATCCTCATACATTTCCTCCACCTCCTCACCGGAATGTGCCGACGTTGGTGCGTAAACCTGTATGACCTTCAGCGAATACCGTTTGGTGATTCTGAGTATCAGATACGCTACCCTCGTCGACACACTCTCAATCTGTACAATGTTGTTGACGAGAGACTTGTGGACGATAAATCCGACACCTCCTTGGGACAGATGGTCGCCCTCCCGGTGATAGAACAAGTTGCCGGAATTCGAGAATCAACGTGTCCTCCCCCCTCTCTTCGGACATCGGATAATCCTATAATACTCCAGCGCAACTTGCCTATCTCTTCTTCCAGCTCCAGGATCTTCTCGTCAGTCCTCAGTGTGCGTGCGTTAAATGTTGCCAGGTCGAGTCGTCGTAGGTGGCAACCGAACCTCCACCGGAGATTCTTAGCACCCCCTGTCCCGCCGTTACCATGGTCGCCACCGTAGCCAGGAATAGCGGGGCCGATGGGGACTGGGGGCCGTCTATTTGTGTAATTGTTCATGGGGGGTATATTGCCATAGTTGCCACGCTTGGCGAGCGGGTTGGCAACCGCAGTTTTTTTTTTGTCGTACAGTTGCTGTTATCAGGAAGATGCTGCTGCCCATCTCCTGCCTGTCTCCCTCTGTCGCCTCTTACGACACCCACGGGAAGATATGGGGTAGTGGATATTCTTAACCGCCACTACACAGTGGTACTAATTCTTATTATGTAACTAATATTATACACAATCAAACAACATAAAATACTTTCGTTTTTTAGTTTAAAAGTTCAAAATATAGACTTATTAAATATGACAATATGAATAAGACAACATACTTTGGCATATTATGTCAATTTTATTTTTCAAGACATCCTTTAGCGGCGCTTCAAATTCGCACAGTCATATTGTATGGTATAGCCAGTCCAGCGTACTTGTATATATAGAGTTCAGTGAATAGGAGTCTCTGCCGGTGGTCCCAAATTGTTCCTCGAGTATAAAGCTTTTTCGCGCTTGAAAAATGATCCAGGTGAGTGGAATTTTTGATATATTATTAAGTGAAATCTTGTGTAATATGTATATTTGCTTATTATTTATGTCTATATATATTTACAGAATGGATACATCTAAGCCAAAATCAAGAAAAAAAGCAAGATTCGCAATTCCTAAACAGACAATATTAAATAAACTAAACAAGTCTCATACAAAGTCTGTCGGATGTCCAACGCCATTATCTGATGACGAAGAAGCCAAATTTATTAAAGTTTTAATTTAAGTGGTTAACGCTCGCTGTAAATAAAGTTTTAATTGCTGCTGGGGAATTCGGATGCCCACTTAGTAAATTGGATCTTCGCCTCGTCGTGTTTGAATACTTGAAAAAGAATGCCCGCGAGGATGTATTTAACGGAGGACCTCCTGGAAAAGCATGGCTTGATAATTTTTTGTCAAGACATTCATCAGATTTGTCCGTTCGTAGCACGCAGAATATTAAAAAAAATAGAGCTGAGAAAGGGGTTGATGAGTTCATGGAATATTTTAGAAATTTAGAAGAGACTTGAAAGATGTTGCTCCATCAAATATACTCAATTTTGACGAAACAAATTTAACAGATATCCAATCTCGATAGCGAGGAGTAAAATATCCCGAGTGAGTGCTCAATTCAACTAAAGGAGCCATTTCGCTGATGTTCTCAGTTACAGCGAACGGGAGCTTGCTACGTATTTACGTTGTCTATAAGGCAGAGAATTTATATTCTGAATTGATACAGGGCGGACCGAGTGGTACTAGGTATAACCGCACAAGATCTGGGTGGTTTGATTCTTTTGTTTTTGAAGATTACTTTAACACACAACTATTATGGATTGGGAAAAGTCTTTACCTGGTAAAAAGGTCATTATATGCGATAATTTATCAAGCCACTTAAATGTGAGTGTTATCGAATTATGTGAGTGTCACAATATTCAGTTTGTTTTCATTCCACCTAGCTCGACACATATAACACAACCCCTTGACGTCGTTTTTTTTGCACCACTTAAAAAAGTGTGGCGAGCGATATTACTCAAGTACAAAATGGAAAATCCCAACCAAACTGCTCTGAATAAGAATCATTTCCCAACACTTTTACATTCTTTAGTTGATCAAGTTGAAATGTATTCATCTAAAAATATCAAAAGTGGATTCAGAGCAACAGGGATCTACCCATTCAACCCAAGAGAAGTACTGAAGCGTGTACCAGAGTATCAAGAAGATGTGGCATCATATGGGATTGATAATGCATTGCTAGACTACTTAAAGCAGAACAGGCAGCCAAATCCTATGATAACAAAAAGAAACAAGAAAGTTATGACTGTACCTGGAAAATCAGTAACAGTCGATGATTTACTGCTGACTTCCCAACTCTCAAAATCGAATGTACGAGGCAAAGTCAAGTCATCTAAGAATAATACAACACTCACGAAGTTAGATCCTGCTGCCTCACTCGCAAGTGTCTCACTCGAGAATTTTAATAAAAATTACGATTATGACATTAGTTATATTTTAAACGAAAAAACGGGTTTAATGGAAGCCACAAAAAACACTGATTTAGTATTTGAAACAGATTTACCCGTGATTTCGATAAAAGACCAAGACAAGCCCAAAAAGATAAATATTCTATCCGACATCATTTTACCAGAATATAAGACTGAGCCTATTGCAAAAACTAAAACTAAATACTTTAAAGAAATTGATACAAGCTTTAACATTTTATCACAAACTTTTCCTTCAGAACGCAATATTATCATAGAAAAACCACACACTGAAAATTCGGATGGTAAGGTAAGAAAAATAGATAATATTGCTTTTAATATTAACGTTCATGGTGTTTTAAGTAGTGACGATAATGAGGATATTAAGGATGTTGTGAGTTGTTCTGCAAATAGCAGAGAGAAAACTAGCAGTAAAAAGGAAGAAAAAACTTCGTTTGAGAAAAAATGTCAAAAAGAAAACGTCAAACCAGTTAAGAGACCAAGAAAATCTCTAGATAGTTCTACAACTACTGAGGAAGATTGGATTAGCACCCATAGTGATTCTGACGTAATTGTAGCACTTAGTAATGTTACAAATTTTGAAATAAGTATGGAAGAGTCTACAAATATTGATGAATCTATAAATATGGAAGAATCGATAAATATGGATAAACAAATAATAAAAGAAGATATACATCAAATTGACAAGAATTCAAAGAAAAGAGTATTATGAATTAGGAGAAAAAGTGTTGGTAAGATACTATCAGTCAAATAAATGGAAGTACTATGTAGGATTAATTGAAAATGTTAATGACAATTCAAAAAAATTTAATACGAGTATATCTTATTACAAATGCATAAAAACAAAGGATTCGGATGATATTAAATTTAATAAACCTAAGCTCTTGGATCGAGATATAGCCGTACCAGAAAGTAACATTGTTAAAATTATAGAACTTTTACAATTCAATGAAAGTCCTGAAGAATATGTATTAATGTGTGATAAGGATTCTGTGTACTTTTAAGAATTTGATATTATGTCTTGTGTTATCACAAAAACTATATGCAATTAAAAACATAACTTGTAAAAAAAAAACCAAGTCTCACAACTCAGTTCTTCTACCGTAAAAAGTTGTGAGATCCATGTAATACCAAGTCGGTTAATTTATTCAGTTCCTACTTAAGGGTCCTTCTGTTTTAAGTTATTACGTAATTACCTAACCTAACAACATTTTATAGTGACCATATCAATGTTAAAAGTCTTTTATGTTTTAAATATATAGATTGACTTGGCAATCTTCTTGAGTACCAACAACGTACCTATGTACACCTGTAATACATACACAAGTACACTGGTTCATTCACTGCAAATGTAACTTTGTAATTCTATATATTTATAAGGGATTACAAAGTTATTTATGCAGTTAGTGTATCTAGAAAACTGAACAGAAATTAACAAATGGTTTAGTTTTTCCTTGATTTATACTTTTAACACTAATTGCATTCTAAATTTGAAGCTTCTATGTCTGCTAGAAGTGCCTTAGAGTTTTGATGATCGGTCAGTCAGTGAGTGACAAAATTAAGAAAGTTTAACTGGTTACAATTCTTAAACTACTGGTTCAAATTGAATGAAATTTGAAATATACCATATCTATACAATGCTTACTTGGTTACTGAAAATTCAGGCTTCTAGTTTTATTGACCACGAAGTTATAGGGGGTCGAAAATGACCTGAATTGCTTCGAGAAAAGATGGTACGGCCGTGCCGCTTTTTTGCTCGACTTGGCGGGGCACTGCCGTGCCCCCAGATTGCTGTATTTCTTTGGTATTTACTAGAATGTGTCATTTACACGCTCATTTCCTAAAGTTCCTAAAGTATGTTTTTCATTTATTATTTTTTGTTTTCAGTAGGTACCTAGGTTCTAAATAAACACTATAAGCTTGGTACTATTGTTACATATATTTTTATTTATAAATTTGAGTTTTCTCTTTCACCTCAACGTGATGATTAAGTAGTCTTGAGATTACTAAATTGAAAAATGAATATTTTTTTAAGAATTTTGATCTCACAAATACGTGATAGTAATTTAAGTACTTACTCATAACCATTTAATACTTGATATAATTTGATAGTCTATGTTGTTGTCTACTTGCTTAGTAAAAGTGCCATATTTTATATGCTAATATTGTACCAAATAAATCTCATATAATAAAATGCGATTGATTAAAAACATGTTTTTTTTTTGTAAAACACCCAACCAATATATAATAATTAAAAAAATTGACAACCCTGAATCTAAAACTGTTTTGTATGGAAATTTAAAAAAAAGTTTCGGGTATCTTTGGCCACCTGGCTGTAAGCCAAAATATTTAACTTATTGTGATTATTGCCTTTTATACGTCTTCTTTGGCCAGTTTCCTGTAATAGTTCTTAAAGTAAACGGCATTGAGACTATAATTCAAGAGTTATAAGCAGTGGCTAATGTTGACAGAAAGCTGATGTAATTTTGGCCGACTAAAAAAATATATTTTTAGGTAAGAAACTGTCCTAATTTTCGCAATTTCCGTGAATTAACATCAACAGTTGAGGTTTCTGGTGTTAAACAAATATGAAAAACTAATACTTTACTGACAGTTTTTTGGATTTAAAGTTGATTAAGTGCAAAATGTGGCCAATGTTGGCAGGTTTTACGGTATAATTAGGAATGATAATACAATCATTGAAATATAATGATTTATAACTTTCTATAACTTTCAAATAAATAGTAAGTATAATACGCACGCCACTTAGTGTCAGTTAATTGTGCCATGCGTATAACCTTCGCACAAGTGCAACCAATAAGTTGACTAGGTTTTAACGCAATCTGATGAACGGTATGGCATCGTAGAAAGTACGAACAAACATAAATTTTTATATAGTAGAAAATATTTTACTGTTTATATGCAGACCTGTAGTTGATTAGAATAAGTGTTATTATAGCAGCTGATTTGTTTTTCTTTATAATACTAGAACTAAATGAACGGTTGACAATAAATTATTTTAGAAATTATGTTTTTTATTTTTATTTTGTGTAGATAGTTTAATCTTAATAATTTTTTAGTTGAATGGTCTAAGGGCTACGATGGCTATCCGAGTACAGAACCAGAGTACAAAACTAATCCAACTGTAGAGATGTGTAAGACAGGGTGACGTAATATCCCTGAAATACTATACCGCTGCATTGGAAGACGTCTTCAAGCTACTGGACTGAAAAGGATACGGTTATTGAGTGTAGAAGTAAGGAGTTCCAACTCCCATAGTAGAACAGTAGAAAAAGTGTCCATCTGTAAGGAGTAAATAACAGCTCAAAAACTCTCCACAACAGCGCTGGAGTAGCTACTGGGATAAAATGAACTTAGCAGTTGTCGACGGTTCAAGTGTGGTGCTAAACTGCTCAGTAGCTCTAAAATCTAAAGTGATTTTATTTAGTAAATATAACCTCGAAAAATTCGTCTACCCTACTAATATTTTTCGGTGCGTTCTTTTAAATTTACCCCGTAGTTATAGTGGCGTCACCCTTATTTAATGGTTTTTATGGACACTTTTTAATACACAGTCTGTACTCCTTACTTCTACACTCCATAGATACGGTATTAACGTCAATGGCGTGAACGTCACTCACCTTCGATTTGTCGACAATATAGTCCTTATGGCAGAATCGCTGAAGGACCTACACACTATGTTCAATAACCTCAATAGTGTCTCTCAACTGATAGGTCTTAAGATGAACATGCACAAAACAAAAGTCATGTGTAATGTCTATGTCACACCTATGCCGGTGGTTTTTGGGAGCACTTAGCTGAAGTTGTTGACGAGTATTTTTACTTGGGACAAATAGTCCGACGGTAGGTAAGTTCAATTTCGACCGACAGGTCAATCTACGGATTCAACTCGGCTGGGCAGCGTTCGTGAAATTACAACACATCTTCAATTACAACACATCTTCGAACAACCGAAAATGAACTAAGTGATGAAATTATACGTGAAACAAACTACGATATACCAGCTTTGCAGCAGCAAGTAGCCGAATTTGTACCCCGCTTGCTTCCCGAACAAAAACGAGTTTTTGACAATGTATTAGGACAAATTGAATCTGGAAATGGTGCACTTTTCTTTTTAGATGCCCCTGGAGGAACTGGGAAGACATTTTTGTTAAATTTATTATTAGCGCAAGTACGGAAAGATAAAAACTATGCTGTGGTCGTAGCTTCCTCCGGTATAGCCACCACGCTGCTAAGCGGGGTAACACTGCACATTCTGTTTTAAAACTCCCTCTAAATCTAGCCTAGGAAGAATCGCCGATCTGCAACTTTAGCAAAAATAGTGCACGAGGTATAATGCTACGACAATGCAAACTTTTAGTGTGGGACGAAAGTACAATGTCGCATAAAAAAGCTGTAGAAGCACTAAATCGAACGCTCCAGGATTTGCGCAGCAATTCCGATGTAATGGGAGGAATGGTGGTTTTACTGGCTGGTGACTTTCGCCAAACTTTACCTGTCATTCAAAAGGGCACAAATGCAGATGAAATTAAAGCATGCCTCAAGTCGTCTATTTTATGGAACAAGGTGACAAAATTCAGTTTAACTACGAATATGAGAGTGCATTTGTATACTGATATCAATGCTAGAAACTACGCTGACACTATTAAAAATTGGCGATGGCCGGTTGGGAACGGATGCTGAGGGCTGCGTTAAATTGACGAGAGATTTTTGTAATTTAGTACAGAGTCATTCCGAATTAAGGGCGAGCATTTATTCAGATTTAACGAACAATATGAATGAAGACGGCGGCCCTGCTATTCCTGGCTACGGTGGCGACCATGGTAACGGCGGGGCAGGGGGTGCTAAGAATCTCCGGTGGAGGTTCGGTTGCCACCAACGACGACTCGACCTGGCAACATTTAACGCACGCACCCTGAGGACTGACGAGAAAATCCTGGAGCTGGAAGAAGAGATAGACAAGTTGCGTTGGAATATTATAGGATTATCCGAGGTCCGAAGAGAGGGGGAGGACACGGGGATTCTCGAATCCGTCAACTTGTTCTGTCACCGGGAGGGCGACCATCTGTCCCAAGGAGGTGTCGGATTTATCGTCCACAAGTCTCTCGTCAACAACGTTGTAAAGATTGGAAGTGTGTCGACGAGGGTCGCGTACCTGATACTCAGAATCACCAAACTGTATTCGCTGAAGGTCATACAGGTTTACGCACCAACCACGGCACATCCCGATGAGGAGATGGAGGAAATGTATGAGGACATTTCCAAAGCCATGCATTCCTCCAAAACCCATTACACGTTGTTGATGGGAAACTTCAACGAAAACTAGGCATAAGAGAAAACGGAGAGCTGAAGTTAGGGAAATTTGGAGTAGGGCAACGGAACCGAAGGGGCCAGCAGCTGGCCGACTTTATGGAGAAAGAGGGACTCTTTATGATGAACTCTTTCTTCCAGAAGCGGCCCCACAGGAAGTAGACCTTGGTCGAGCCCCGACGGTTCGACAAAAAATGAGATTGACTTCATTATGACGACCAGACGCCAACTGTTCAGTAATGTCTCAGTGATCGCAAGGGTGAAAACTGGCAGCGATCACCGAATGGTTAGAGGCACACTGAACCTAAACGATAAGTTGGAGAGGTCTCGTCTAATGAAGTCAACGCTCCGTCCCCCTCGTGCTCTAATCCAGAATCCTGA